ACGCACTACAAAATGGGGTTGATTTCGAGTTGCCGATAATAGAACAGCTGGTTAACACGCAGTTCTAATGGGAAGGTTGCCGAAGAAAAAGAGGCTGCCGACAATAGTCACACTCACCTGAGAAGTTTGGAGCGTTGTAAAAACGCTTTCAAAACGTTTTGAAAAATTCTGTCGATTGGAATGGATAGAGAAGCAAGCAGCAGATGAATGTAAACAAACAGACACATTATATATGTGCGTGACGCTGAGAAAATGCTAGTAGAAGTGCAGACGCTGCTTAGATTGACGAGAATACGTAAATTCCCCTATGTATGTATGTAAGTAGCCACCATCCTAGCTTGGGTCTTGCCCTGCATGCGGCTCCACCTTAACAGCAAGATCAAATTTCGTCATCATTCTGAATTCAACATACTGCTGTATAAAGGGGCCAAAGGGGTTTGAACGGGCCCGTAAGCAGAGACACTTACGTGAAACCCGCGGGAATAAGAGAATCTCCTTCCACTAATATGGTACAACAAAACAAATAACGAAATTCGCAATACATGTTAAACTTTCCACGGGATGGTTTGTTTAAGAAGAACGCGTCAAATTCATTGGAACTGTTGAAGTGAAATGTAACTATCTAAAATGACAGTACACATTCCCTCCTAGATTCTGATTGGCACTCCACTCCATTGTCCAGTTACAACTTCAATGATGCCCTGATGCTCCCTCCCGTCCCAGCATTTTTGTAATTTACAATGTAAATTTAAATATAATGCAATATACAATGTATATAAAATATATAGTGAAATGCAAAATATATAAAATAAAATAGTTTTACAAAATACAAATAACCTAGAGTTTAATTAATTGCAATTCAACTTTATTTAACCCATAATAGTATATCACACTCTTTTGTTTAAATGTGCCATGACATTAATTTACGATGTCACGGCATGTTTTGAAAATATAGTACTAAAGTAATGAATCAATAGACCGAAAATCGAGGTTATTTGGACATGAGGACACTATATTTACATGGATATTATTGAATGTATCAACACTGATGGTATACACTGGATACCCTGCAAGGTAAAACAATTAAATAACTTGATACACGGTGTATTTATTAATTACTTTATTGCTTTGTGCTACTTCTGCATCTGATGCGCTATAAAAAGTAGCTGTTGATGAGAGGAACTAATCCTATTATATTGAAGGCCTGGATGACCTGAAATGTGTTTTACTTATGTATGTAATATAATATTGAAAAAAAAAAAATGCGTTGTAATGACTGTCTCAAAAATGCAAAAAGTGTGATAAAAGTGCACGTTTCCGTCAAATCGTTTTGATGTCTTCGGAGCCCTTATTGCTTGCATCATAAGGAATAAGTGCACCCAAGACACCAAGACGATTAGACGTAAACTTGCAATTTTATCACACTTTTTAATAAGTGAAAACGTCCAATTTGGTGTGAAATGCTCAATATATGATATGCATTTAAAAGTATATATGCTGCTACCTGCAATTTCAATATGGTAAATTCAATTCAATATTTTAAATTATTAAAAAAAAAATATTTGTATTATTATATAATGTAATAAAACAACCTTAGTATTTGCAATCGCCTCCTTTGAGCTCCCTTCTAGCATTGTTCTAAGAAAAAATAAAGAACATAAGATTTTTATCGATGGCACCAATCGACAGGCCAACATCAGAGCATTTCTCCATTTGATAATAATTTATTAATAACCTGTAATACGTTGCCTTAATGCTAGAAACAAATAGCAGGATTTATGTACTAAAACATATGCGATATAAAAACAAATAGGTTTGGCTATTCCTCTTCTCTTTGTTCTTTTTCGCTGTGATGACATCTAGAAAACAATATAATTTTTTTAATTTAATTAAGCACACCACACTTTTGGTGAACTCAACACCCATTGGTCCATTAAAAAGTACTGGTGCTTTTATTATGATTGGAGGAGAGATGGCAACACCTCACAGTTAAATTTTAATATAGCGACAGGAAACGGTGATTATTTTGAATTCACTCAGATAACTGCAATTCAAATTGCAAGTTTTGAGACATTAACTTAAATTTGATTTCATCAAAATCTATAATTATCCCTATATAAAGTCAATTTGAATATTATTAAAAATAATTATTCATAAATTTGAAAGATCTCACCTAACTCTCCATCGTGCCTGAATCTTTTTCAGCACTGTTCATTTTCATCCATCAGCTAGCCACGCTGCATTTCCGAATGTTAATCACAGTCTGCACGGTACAGCATGAGTGCGATGTACGTACACTAGACCTGTTCATTTTAAACGAAATGTTCGGAATGTAACGGGTCAACCGTGATTACTGTTCGTCATGTTAATTTGAACTTCTGTGCAAATTTTCAGCAAAATCGGTGATGATTTAGAGGTGCTTCAAGTTAACTTTATGTTTTTAAGGTAATTTACGGCTTACAATATTTGTATCTCGAGACTGAAACAACGAAAGCTGCTGTAACAACTTTCATAGCAAAAGTTTAATGTGTTATGTATCAACTTTGTAACCAAAGGTTGACTATTCGAAGTGATTTTATTGAAGTTTGACTTAGTTTCATGCTCGAAGATATCTTAAAAAGTGAAGAATTTTAAAGTGTTTGTTCTACGAATTTTCCACCCATATGATATAAAATGTGTAGTGTACGGCATAATGTTCCTCATATTGTTCTAGAAGTTTCGTTCCAACATAGTTTTCGTGTATATTTCATAGATTGAGAGATAAAAATCAGAAAAGAGGCCGTTTTAGCTAAAATTCACAAGACAACAGAACCAATAAAAGTCAATTAGATTGACAGAACATAGTTGCATTGCTTTTCAATGACGACCGATGACTGTTTCATTGATATATGATTTTTTCATAAATATGAATCCTCAGTAGACGTGTTTTTTTATGAAAGGCAAGTGTCACTCGAACCATAACAGCAATTTATAAAATAACGAACATTTGAATGGCTCGAGTGACGCTTGCCTTTGATAAAAAAAAACACGTCTACTGAGGATTCATATTTATGAAAAAATCATATATCAATGAAACAGTCATCGGTCGTCATTGAAAAGCAATGCAACTATGTTCTGTCAATCTAATTGACTTTTATTGGTTCTGTTGTCTTGTGAATTTTAGCTAAAACGGCCTCTTTTCTGATTTTTATCTCTCAATCTATGAAATATACACGAAAACTATGTTGGAACGAAACTTCTAGAACAATATGAGGAACATTATGCCGTACACTACACATTTTTATATCATATGGGTGGAAAATTCGTAGAACAAACACTTTAAAATTCTTCACTTTTTAAGATATCTTCGAGCATGAAACTAAGTCAAACTTCAATAAAATCACTTCGAATAGTCAACCTTTGGTTACAAAGTTGATACATAACACATTAAACTTTGCTATGAAAGTTGTTACAGCAGCTTTCGTTGTTTCAGTCTCGAGATACAAATATTGTAAGCCGTAAATTACCTTAAAAACATAAAATTAACTTGAAGCACCTCTAAATCATCACCGATTTTGCTGAAAATTTGCACAGAAGTTCAAATTAACATGACGAACAGTAATCACGGTTGACCCGTTACATTCCGAACATTTCGTTTAAAATGAACAGGTCTAACGTACACGTTATAGTTTTTGCACTCGCTTGTGCTCCCATTCTATGTTCGGCTATATTCAAGCCCATTTGTACACAAGTTTGAACGCAAGTACAATGAACAAGTGCAAACTTCAGCTCGCACCGCGGCTCGCACCAATGTTCAAACTCATGTGCAAACGCAAAAGCTCAGAAGAAGAAGCGAATATAGAATGTGGGGAACAAGCGAGTGCAAAAACTAACGTGTACCTCGCACACATTTTGTATCGTGAAGACTACTCATAAGAAGAAGTTACGCTTGAGCAATTTCATAAAAGTTTCAGTCTTTCGTTTGCAGTTTACTGACAGCGAGTGGTGTAGTGTGATATTAAGTTACATGTGAATTCGTAATCATGAACGGTATGTCATAATTATATTCTGTGATGTTAATATGTATTGCAATTTTTCACTGAGAATACACAACATAGGCAAAATAAAAAAATGCATCCCTCTAATGCTCTGTTCGGACTACGGAGTAGTCTTGTAACATGTTACAAGGTTATAGTGATGACGTTTTTATTGTTGATAATTATTATAACAACCTTGTAACATATTATAGAGGAGTTAAATGATGTATTTTGTTTAAAGTCAGATTTTGGCACTTCCCCGTTCTCTAGGGCACTATATGGCATTTTGTCTGCATTTTGTATTACATACTACAAAACAAATAAAGATTTTTTCGTATTATTAATCAGCAGCTAATTCACAATGTTCACAATAGTCTGAAGTTTAAAGCAATCGTTTGTTTATTCCCTGAATACTAGGTAATACGCCTAATGTTAATCTCAGAACACATTTTTTTCATTACAATGAGAAAGATAATGTGTGTCTATGCAAATTTACTGGATGCACCGGGAGACTCAAAAATGTATTGAGCAGTTTGAAAAGGCATTTGGCTCAAATACATCCAAAAACCGCTGCAAAAATTGGAATCCCAGGCTACAAACGCATAAAACCCGACCAACTGATCTCCTCGCTATCTCCAGCAAAGCGTTTGAAAACCGTATCTGTGCAAGTGGATCCTGTTGAATTCCATTGTGGATTAATTGAAATGACGACTATCAATTCGATTTCTTTCAATTTCTTCAACTCGCATGCTTGTCGCGCTACAATTGGACCACTAGCTAAGAGCTTAAACATTCCCGTCTATGGTGAAGCAATCGCTTCAAGTATCCCTGCTATCGCCAATATCATCAGGGCATGATTGCGAATGAGTTGAAGAAATTTTTTTGTTTGGAAATCGATGGAGCTGTGCGCCACACCGAAAGATTTTCGGGATTAACGCTCGAATACTTCATGGTGGAAAAGTCTCCACTCGCACATTATCGATGATGGAGATAACCGATAAGCAAACTGCTCAGAACCTGAAAAACACCATTGAAGAAGTATTGAAATCATACAGCACTGATGTCACGCATGTTTATGCTTACACAGCTGATAACGGAAAAAATGTACAAAAGTGTGGACAAGAATTGAATAAATCGCAACAAGTGGCACTCAATTCCATTGAGCACGAACAAGCCAGTGATTATGAAAACGATGATGAAGAAGACGATAATGAATTTCACACTGGTGAAATCGACGAAATGTTGGAGGCCGTTGAGAACATTGTTCTTTTTTTTTTTATATTAATTTATTTGTACAGGCCCAATCGAATAAACTTTACAGAGCCGAGTTATCATTTGCATTATACATGAATAATGTCTTAAATCTAGAGTTAAAGGAATTGAACCGATTACTCGCGGTCGTCTCGAGGTTAGTGGAGATTTACAATTTTTTGGATGGGGAAAGGGAGAAGGAGGTTTGAAATATGATTTATTATATAAATATTTAATTAATCCTAAAACATGAACTTATTTCTATTCATCTTGAAAACAAACATAAAAAAAAAACTACACGCACAATACACAAACTAAACACAAGGTTAATCAAACTTACAATCTAAGGTCAGTATTCTTAAAGTAAACATATATGAGTTTCATAAACTCCAGATCACGTCTAGCCAAAATATCCCGAACTGGAACATTAGGTTGTCTACCTCGAGCCCGAAGGGAATCGCACAGCTCAGATCTGACTCCACGATGCTCAGCACAAGACCAAAGGATGTGATCAGCGTCTTGGTAACCTTGTCCACATTCACAGAGATTGCTGTCTCCCAGCCCAACACGAAACAAGTGAGCGTTTAACGAATAGTGATTGGACATGAGGCGAGACATCAGACGAATGAAGTCTCGACCCACATCCAACCCCTTGAACCAAGGATTCTTCGACACCTTAGGGATGATCGAGAATAGCCATCGTCCCAAACTCCCTTCACTCCATTTATTTTGCCAGCTGGCGAGCGACTGTTGACGATAAATGAAGAAAAATTCATTGTAGGCGATTTGTCGATCGTAAATATCGCCTTGCATAGCGCCCACCTTAGCAAGTGAGTCCGCCTTCTCATTGCCCGGAATCGAGCAATGAGATGGGACCCATGCAAAGGTGATGACAAAAGATCTTAAAGATAAAGCACTCAGAAGCTCTCGTATTTTCATGAGAAAATACGAGGAGTGCTTTACCGGCCTCATGGAGCGAATAGCCTCGACAGAACTGAGACTATCCGTAAAAATAAAATAGTGATCTGGTGCAAGTGAGGCGATCGTTTCTAGCGTATAGTATATTGCCGCCAGTTCAGCAACATATACGGAACAAGGAGCTTGAAGCATTCGAGAGGCGCTATGAAATTCGTTATAAATACCAAAACCAGCGGACGACTCTATTAGTGATCCATCTGTGAAGAACGATCTTGCAGAATCAACTTGGCCAAACTTTGCAGCGTAAATTGACGGAACAATCATGGAACGATGATGTTCTGGGATTCCACGAATCTCCCGCGTCATAGATAAATCAAAACTAACTGAATTGCCGAAGTCGGAGAAGCATACACGATGGGGATTATGCTGTGAAGGGCTGACATCCTGAGTTATGTACACGTAGTACAATGACATAAAACGAGTTTGAGGGTTTAGCTCCAGAAGCTTCTCAAAGTTTTCGATTACCAGTGGGTTCATAACTTCACAACGGGTGAGGAGCCTGAGGGACAATTCCGAAAACCGATCCGATAGTGGCAACATGCCCGCCAACACTTCGAGACTCATCGTATGAGTCGAGTGCATGCATCCTAACGCGATACGAAGACAACGATACTGGATACGTTCCAGTTTGATGATGTGAGTTTTAGCCACCGACTGGAAACAAAAACTACCGTATTCTAAAACCGATAAAATCGTTGTCCGGTACAACGTTAGAAGATCTTGCGGATGGGCTCCCCACCACGTTCCGGTAATTGTTCGGAGAAAATTGATCCTTTGTTGGCATTTCCGCTTCAGATACTCAATGTGGGATCTCCAGGTGCATTTTGAATCGAACCAGACCCCAAGATATTTGAAGGACATAGAATGAGTGATCGGTTTACCCAAAAGTTGAAGCTTTGGTTGTGCTGGGCTATGCTTCCTAGAAAAAACGACCAACTCAGTTTTCTCCGTGGAGAATTCGATACCTAGCTGGATAGCCCAAGTAGACAAATTGTCTAAGGTATCCTGTAAGGGTCCTTGCAGGTTGACCCCTGTGGGCCCTGTCATAGAAACTACGCCATCATCTGCAAGTTGTCTCAACGTGCAGTTGTCACTTAGACAATTGTCAATTTCTCTGACATAGAAATTGTACAAAAGGGGGCTTAAACATGAGCCCTGGGGGAGACCCATGTAACTAAATCGAGAAGCTGTAGAGTTTCCATGAGAAAAGCTCATATGTTTCTCTGACAGCAAATTGTACAAAAAGTTATTAATTAATGGAGAAAGGCCACAAGCGTGGAGTTTGTCTGAAAGGACTTCAACCGATACTGAATCAAAAGCCCCCTTAATATCCAAGAACACAGAAGCCATTTGCTCTTTTTTAGCAAAAGCCAACTGGATTTCTGTGGAAAGCAACGCGAGACAGTCGTTCGTTCCCTTACCCCTACGGAAACCAAATTGAGTATCTGAGAGTAGGTGGTTCGTCTCAACCCATTTGTCGAGGCGAAAAAGGATCATTTTCTCCAACAATTTTCGAATGCACGATAACATCGCGATGGGACGATACGAGTTATGATCTGACGCGGGTTTTCCAGGCTTTTTAATGGCTATAACTCTCACTCGCCTCCAATCATCTGGAACAATATTGTACTCCAGGAACTGACAAAACAAGTTCAACATGCGCCTCTTAGCGACGTCTGGGAGGTTCTTCAACAAGTCGAACTTGATCCTATCAGCCCCCGGAGCCAAATTGCGACACGAAAGGAGCGCGAGTGAGAGCTCCAGCATTGAAAAAGGTTGGCTGATCTCGTCTACCGAATTCGTCGTTTCGCGAGAAATCATCTGTGCCGGCACGGAATCAGGACATACTTTTCGCGCGAACTTGAGAATCCACCGATCCGAGTACTCCTCGCTCTCGTTGTTTGAAGACCGGTTACGCATCCTTCGCGCCGTGTTCCAAAGCGTATTCATCGACGTTTCGCGCGATAAACCGTCCACGAATTGCCGCCAGTATCCGCGTTTCTTGGCTTTGATGAGGCTCTTGAGTTCGCGTTCAAGAGTTGAGTACGCTTCGAAATACTCGGGTGTTCCGCGTTTCCGGAAAAGCTTAAACGCGTCGGTTTTTTTACGATAAACCTCAGTGCATTGCTGGTCCCACCAAGGGGTAGGAGGTTTCCTACGAAAATACGTTCCTGGAACCGGCCGAGTTTGAGCTCGAAGCGCGCTGTCCAAGATCAGATTGGAGAGGAATTTATATTCCTCCAACGGTGGAAGCGCTTCTACCGACGACACGGCTTCATCTATCGCGTTCTTGAACGTTGTCCAATCGATATTACGGGTGAGGTCGTACGCGACGTTAACGGATTCCGACGAATTGAACCCACTGGCAATCGAAATTTGGATCGGCAAGTGATCACTACCGTGGGGATCCTGGATCACATTCCACGTGCAATCCAACGATAATGAATTAGAGCAAAGTGTGAGGTCTAATCTACTTCCATTTGAGGATGGACCAGCCAGACGTGTTACTTCTCCATTGTTAAGAATTGTCATATTGAAGTTATCACAGAGGTCATATATCAAAGTAGAACGGTTGTCATCATACAGTTCCCCCCAGCCTGTACCGTGGGAATTAAAATCTCCCATAATCAACCGTGGAGTAGGAAGAACTGAACAGATATCTGAAAGTTGTTTTTGACTAATCGAAACTCGGGGAGGAATATACACAGAAGCAATACAAAGGCTCTTGCCTTTAACAAAAGCCTGACATGCGACAACTTCAATACCTGGAAATTGTGGAAGATTCACTCTATAGAAGGAATGGCACTTTTTGATCCCCAAAAGTACTCCTCCTCCACGCGAATCCTCACGATCCAGTCGAATAATGTTAAAATCATGAAAAGGAAGATCGATATCTGAAGAGAGCCAAGTTTCACACAGAGCAAATGCATCACAATCGTTATTGTGAACCAAAAACTTAAACGATTCTATCTTAGGAATAAGACTTCGACAATTCCACTGTAGAACAGTGATCAAATCCCCGACCTCGTTTGGAAAATTATCCATCGAAGGAGATGATTGCTGCAAGGAGGGGCCACTTCAATGTCAACTGCTTCAAGAGGGTTTTCACAGTAGGAAGCATTGCCAGAACAATGCTTGTGAGAGGATCAGAAATATCGAGGTAATTGAGGATACTGTCCACAATGTTATCAAATGAGAACAACCCAGATGAAGAAGGGGCTTGTGTTCTGAAAATTGGGGCATCGGGGGTTTTGGATGTCCCCGGGAGAGGTGGAAAATCCTGGGTATAATCAGTTCTGCGGAATCCAGGAGGAGTAGAAGTCTCCTTTTTTCCACCATTCCTTGATTTGGGCAAGCTGATTTGGGGTTCTTGATCTGCAACTTTCCGCGAACGGATGCGTTTTCGTTTCCGGGCAGAACCTTCCGGAAAACTGAAAGAAACTCCCTCCTCAGCCAAGTCAGAGCCAGACTCGTCATCTGACAAAAGAGCGAAGGGATTTGTTTCGTTGGTCGATGGCTTGGCTGTCTTAAGCATTTCTGCAAAAGACCGCCTGGAACGTTCTTTAAGAGAGCGCTCTAGTTTTTCCCCGCGTTGTTTGTACACCGGACACGACGAGAGACCATGAGGAGGAGATCCTTTGCAGTACACGCATTTTGGTGCCGTGACTGTGCAGGCGCCATCCTCGTGCTTCTCCCCGCATTTGGAACAGCGTGCCTTGCTGCCACAGTGGGACGCCGTATGTCCCAACTGCTTACAGTTTTGGCAGTTCATGACCCGGGGAACGAACAAGCGTACAGGTAGTCGAAGTTTTCCCAGCTCGATATACTGAGGAAGGGCTGAACCAGAAAAGGTCACGCGAAACGAGTCTGTGGGGGTAAAACTCTTTTTACCCTCGCTGACAGATACTGAGCCCAGTTTTTGGACATCCAGTATCTTCACCGGGGGGAGCAAGGGGTTCTTGAAACGGCCAACCGCCTGCTTCTCCAAGATCTCGGGGGTCAGACTCGCTTCGGTGACCACACCTTCGATCTCCACATCACGAGCTGGGATGTAAACTCTGTACTCGAGCGTGAAGAGCTGGGAGGCAGCAATCTCGTTAGCCTGCTTCAGGTTAGAGACGGAGACACGAAGTTTATTGTGCCTAACCTTCGTGATTTCAGTCACGGCCGAGTATCGCTTCGTCAGATCAGTGGAAATTTGCATCAAGTTCAAAGGTTTGTTTTTGGGCTGAAAGTAGACAACCCATGGCCCAGTCGAGTCATCTGGATAGGCTCGCGATCGGGGGCTTTTCTGAGACAAACCATGAATGACAGGACGTTTTCGTCTTTTCTTGCCATCGAGTGGCAAACTGGTGTCATCTTCCGACAAAATGTCCATATCGTCTTCTGACGAGACGTCCATTTTGCCGTACTAGTGGGAGCGGTAAACGCTCTACCACTGAAACGATGCTTAAAACCACACAGACACAATAAACAGAAAAAAAACTACAAACACAGAAACACAAAATTAAATTTAACTGATGGGCGAGAGAAAGAAACAGGAAAAAAAAAACTTATCTGCTATACTACTACCACCGAGTGATTACACAGCAGCAGCGGAGAGACGCGCAGCGTGGGTGACCTTCGATGCGCGTGTGCGGGCGATCTTTGTAGTGGTGTGCTTGTATTAGGCTCGGCACTCAGCTGGACACACGATGATGGATGACCGGTATAAATGCGGAGGCAGATGCTGACACTCGATGACGATGATCTGTGTGCCGGTATGCGTGATCACGCACCGATGGTGCGCAAAATGGTTGGCGAATTGGCAATCGCAAAAACAATTTTCCTTCCGATGATGCCGAAAACACACTTTCTTCTCAGAAAAAAAACTCACTTTCAGATAATTGTTTAGCCGGGTACTATGCCAGTAATCACTAAGCGAGAAAAAACTGATAATTTAAACCAACCGAATACCGAGAAAACTTCCGAAATACCGGAGCGCGAAACAAGTCGACTGTACTTCTTGCTAGGTCGCAGTGGGGTGAGAACATTGTTCTTAGCGGTAACGAATCCGCAGCCCATACTATTAATCTGGTTGTAAATGATGCTGTGGATAAGGAATGCGACATTCTTAAAAAAGTCCGAAAAATTGTTAAAGCGTGCCGGAAAGTTGGATACAAGCCATTTTTCGAAATTGAGAAGGTTCCGCTGCCCAAAATAGATGTGGAAACGAGATGGGGCTCTCTATATGAAATGATCAACTCGTTACATAGCAGAAAAGCATTTTTCGAGGATATTGGTCAAAAGTTTGAAGAATTGCACGTAACAGCGGATGACTGGACCTACATTGAAGAGTTCGCCGCAGCATTCGAACCGCTGTTTGTTCTAACAAAAGCTCTGCAAGCGAATGATTTGATTCTAGGAGACGTTTTCAAGCTCCTAAAGATATGTCGACTAAAGCTCAGTAAGATCCCTGCTGCCAATAGATTTTCAGAAAGTCTTAAACAAGCACTACAGGGTAGAGCTATACGTATGATGGATAATGATGCCTTCCGTGCGCCTTTGCTATTCGACCAACGCTGGTGCTTTATCGACTCGCCATATGTTTCAATGGATGAAAGGCTTAAGGCGATCGTAAGTATAATTATATAGGGTTTTTGATCTAATTTCCGTCTTACTAAGGACAACCCGTGCTTTACCTCTCTTTTCTGAAAGAATTTTAACCAAAAATGGAATATTTCTGTCAAAGATGACTTCTAAATTTATCCACCTTTCCATACGTGTTGGATTTGATAAAGAGTCACAAATTGTTGATATATTGTTCAAAATCTAATGCTGCTTCATGATTCTAAATTCGTTCTACGAGTTTCAATTCCGTCCTAACGCATTGAAACGCCATTAGATTTTCTTCGTCCTACGGATAAACGTAGAAAAAGACCAGGGCCCCTTCTCCAATATTCATTGACGTTTTTTGAAGAATAAACATTATGTTATTAAAAAAATACTGAATTCGTTGAAAAAAATTGCTGACATTTTTTATTGAAAACCCGTTAAATTGAAGAAACAGCATGCACTTTGAACAGTTTAAAAGTCGTTTAAATTTTTAATAGCCGTTACATGTTAGAAATCAATTAAATCAAGTGGTGTTGAGTACTTCGCACTGATGAAGTCTGCAAGTAGTAAACGAAATACGCGTATCTGTCAAAATATAAGCAATTATAAAGGAATTTAAAGGAAATAAACCAACCAACTCAAAGCTCTTCATAAAGAGATCCCGTTAAGAGGCTCGACAAATTTTAATGATTAAATCAACGTATTTTTTGTTAACTGAATAAAGTTTTTACAAGTTTGGAATAACTTTTCTATATTGAATTTTTAACATGTTTTTAAACTTTAACCGGACAGTTCCGCAGTTTTAAAATTACCGAACCTTGGAGGCTTGCATTAGTGTGTGTAAAGCCACAGAATGCGTGCACATAATTAATGAAGTCAGTTAATTATGTTAGTACATAGACAAAATTACATTGTATGATTAATTTTGCACAAAAGATTGAATATACTTTTTTTTTGTATCAAAAAGGAAATTAAACTTAAGAAATTTTCAATATTCTTCGATTATATTGTTTTAAAATTTATTTTCAAATTGTCTAGGAACACATGCTGAAAGTTGGCAACATATTGAAGACTTTCAAAAAGAAATCTTCAATTCAACGACAATCAGAACTGCCAGAATGTCTCGCTGCTACCAAGTCAAGCGATGACGATTTTGAAACCATGCTTGAAGAAGAATGTCAGCGTGCGTCAACATCCAAGCTTAATCCTTCTGAGATCGACTTAAAAGTCAAACTTCTAGATCTGGCAAATTCTAAAACGCGGCTCCCATCCAGCACCGATATATTAAAGTACTGGGAGGTTCGACGTTATGATAATGAACAGATATACGACCTCGCTATGATAGCTTTATCCACATCAGCAACAGAGGTGTCGGTAGAGCGGTGTTTCTCTGGAATAAAACTTCTACTGGAACAACACCGACTCCGCATGTCACTCAGTATGCTTAATGATCTGATGATAATTCGATTCAATAAAGATCTTTTGGAACCAGCCATGGAGAAATACCGCCAGAATGATACAGTTTAAAAACCAAGTGTTAAGATTATTCATGAAACTGTATTTGAATCTATGTTTCCTTATGTTTTGAATTTATGAATTTATGTTTTTGACTAGTTTTGTTTGCTTTTCATAATTTTATAATAAATAATAAACAAACTATTTTATCAGTATACTTCCAAAAAATCGCAACTTGAAAAAGTACCACGACAACCTTGCAGAAAACAGTAATTTCCCAAAATGCCAGGGTACAAAGATATGAAACATGATCAATCACACATGCGCACCGCGCAGTTAATGAATTCACAACTTATATGTCCACCATCGAATAGACCTTAGTCACCTGAACAACTGTGCTGAAACAGGTATCTTCTGTTCGACCAAAATCGTAACATTTTCCAAGCAGAAATCAATTAAGGGGGGAAATACAAGTAACACGTCAAAAACTCGACGATTTTCGGAATTTTTTTGTGAGCAAATGAAACAATGCAAACGTTTGGGGTTTTTTTGCATTAAATTGCTTAAATCTGGTTTCATGATTTCTGGAACTTACGGTTAATCGGCGATACCGGGGCCATAGATCACTCCTTCCTCGTGCTCGTAGCATTTTTTAAAAAGTTTTAAAGTAAAATATAAAAAATAAAAAAATCGATAAAAAAAAATTTTACTTGTATTTCCCCCCTTCAGCCAAAGCCCGTATGGTGTATGTGAACTTGATTTACACGTACTCATGTTGTATCGTGAAGACTGCGCACAAATAGAATCACTCTAAAACATCATAAATGAAAACCACACAGACCAAAAACGCACTCTTCCGGGGATACCTTAAAAACATCAAAAAAATATTGCATGCGTTCAGTTACATACTTGAATAATTCTTGTTTAAAAGTATATAGTGTAATAGCAGGAGCATCGATTGACACTGATAGCTAAACTTTGTTTACCGTTGTTACTTTCGACGCAATGAAAATTTGCTCTTGAATTGCAACTGAAATGGTGTGGCTGTGATGTGGTATCATGCAACATGTCAGAACATCATGTCAAAATCGTGTGGCGTGTGGTACGCATCGACATGTTGTTTTGACAAGCTAGCAGATGCCACATCTCCGTCACAACAGTAGCATAAGTTCAAATTCGTTCTGTGGTAGCCCAGTTAGGAAGTATCCATTAAGTACGTCGCGCTCTAAGCGGTAGAGAGGGGTTCACAGATCTGCGACTAGCAATGCATTAGGAGTTAGGGTTAACTACCCCATTTCCGGCCTATTAAGCATAACCCGCACTTAGTCTTTCTTAATCTAGTTAAGTTTAGCACCAAACGAAATGTTATTATTACTGATGGCTTCCAAATTTATTTACCTTTCCGTACGTACCGTAAGATTTGAAAACGAGAAACCAATCGTTGAGATATTCTCAAAAGTGCAACACTGCTTCTTGACGCCAAACTCGGCCTATGAATTTTAAACTCGGCCTAACGCATTGAAACGCCATTGAAACGCCATTGAAACGCCATTGAAACGCCAATGAATTCACTTTGGCCTATCGGATGAAGATAAAAATTGATTCGGTCGGAGCGCTTCTTTTGTTTTTGGGAATAATAAGTTCAAACCTTCATACCACGCGTTCTCATTGACTTCGTTCGGTAACTTATTAACTAAAGTATCGTACCAAACGCATAATTGACTTGTTAACTCTGAAATCATGGATTTATTTGAAGTTTTCTGCTCGATAGGCCCAAAATGGGCGATTAGGCCGAAGTAGTTCTCTACCCTATAGGAATAGCGTGACGAAAAGCGAGGGGTGTTGATTTACCCAACATTTTGCGTGACGTACTTAATGCATGGAAGTGCCCACACTTTTGCGCGCCAGAAAATTTGCAACATTTTGGCGTAAAGCGAAGCTGCAACATGCACACTGCTGGCGCGCAAAAGGGCGAGCACGTCTGTCTGAAAATTTTGCTCCGTACACAACCCCGTGTGTAAACCAGTGTTTAAGGGGAAGCTCACCGGCCCAAAAATAAAAAAAATATTTTCGGTACGTTTTTATTTTTCTAAAAATATTGGGAAAAATTATCAAAAATCCAAGAAAATCAGTTTCTTTCTTAGATTTTTGTCAAAAATTACATGCAAAAAATTTTTTTCTATCCCATCATGAAAAAAAATTGGACTCTCAGAAAAACCGAAAAGTTGATGTTTTGTGGTTTTTTGAGTCCAACTTTATGCCATAATGACTTATAAAAAATGTTTTTGCACGTGAATTTTCTTTGAAAAATAAAAAAATATGTGATTTTCTTAGAATTTTGATATCTTTTTCCAATTTTTTTAGAAAAATCAAAACGTAATTATTTTTTTCGGAGCGGTGAGCTTCCCCTTAAGCTCATGTTTAAACTCGTGTACAAATATCTGCGCATACACTTGCGAACAACATTGATACACCAGAGTGTATTGCGTGAAATGTACATGGGTTTAAGATTGCACGCAAGTTCAAACTAAACATTCGCTTGGATTTTTGTACACAAGCTCAGCATGGTACATGTTTCCGTGAAGACTGGTTAATCAGCAATACATTCAGGCATGATACACACAAGCAAACTTGCCAATGATTTGAAGCCATCCCTCCTATCCTGCTCTTCACAATAAGCGAAGTATCTCACGGACCGCCAAAGTAGGGTATACGTCCCTAACCTCGGTCTAATATGCAGCCATAGATTACGTTTTTAATCATAACTCATCAATTAATTTACCTGCAAACGATATTCTACTGCTAAATGGTATGCTTAGATATGCTTATCATGTCGTTTGCTATCAGGAACCGCAAAAAGTTGAAAAACTTACTTTTTTTAAGACAAAAACTCACCAGGGAAATGTATGTAATATCGGTCTATTGTCCCCAAATTGGGTCTATTTATGGATGCAACTTCGTCCTATCCTGTTTGATTCTCAAAAAAAACGCTCTTGGTAACGTTTTCTTATGTATTTTTTTTTATCACTATCACTGTTAACTTAATACTCTTCATTCCTCAAAACATTTCTTAGAGAAAATTTTACGAAAACTACATTAAATCACTCAAGTTAAAAATTAAAAATTAAAAATTTCGCTTATCGTCTTTCGACCGCAGAATATCTAAATCAAAACATTGTGATGTTCATTATACAGATTTGGCAGAAAAAATCTCCCTTCCTGTTCGTTCCTTATCATCCAAATGCAAACCACATTGTTGACGTTACTCTTATTGCTATATGCTGTCAAATGAATTTCATGGGCCAAAGTTAGGAACATAGAAAAGAAATGTGTCCCTAAAGTTGGGTCCATGATTTACTTGTGAAAACGTTGTTAAACAATTAAAATAAACATAAAATATTCAAACAGTAACTGTGAGTTTTACGTCTAGTGTGTATTATCAGGTAATTCCATTCAATAAATGCCATAATCAGGCCATTTGATGATCGTCAGTGCAACCTTCCCATCTTAACCTTAGAAGTCATGGCGGCTAAAAACTCCGAACAGAGTGATATTCTCAACCAGTTTTATTACTTACGAGAGCTGAAAATGTATTGAAATGTTGTGATATAAATTGATTTGTGTGTGGTACACATTTATCAATCATCAGTGATCAATATTTTCCTTATTTTTTGTGTAATATTCCTTAATTAATTATTTATTTGCGTGATAGGCCGAATGAAAGGACTAGACCCACATTACATACCGTAACCCTACCTATATTGATCACAAATCTAAACCATTCACACCGAGCAAGCAAAGCAGAAATCATCAATGATGATCAGTCATCATAACGTAAAGCTCGCACCCCAGCACAATTGACTGCAGAGAGAGATGAGCAGATCGACTCATACAACTTAACCGATTGCTCACATCGGGAATCAATCTCATTGCCCCAACACAGCAAGTCTTGACTCTCTGCTATGATATTTTCACAATTTCCTACACACACTACCCAGAAACTGTCTTCAAGCACACTAGATTCTTTTCGTTTTTTTCCATTGGCCTCCTCTTCTTGCAGTCATCACTCAATGCGCTCGTACAAGCGTCATTGTCTGCATTCCTCGAATACAACCACACACCAACAAAAAAGCACATCGTCGATTTTTGTCGCAATTTAGCATGATTTTACATTTTTCTGCTATTTATTTGCATTGCTAACCACTCGTATCAATCTTTGTCAATCTTAATTAATACAAATTCATAACAATTTACAAAATTCGAAACCTCACTTTACCAAACAAAAACGCGGAGAACGAACAACGCACGTCCGAACAGATCAGCACCGTGCGACGAACTGCTAATCAACTTTCAACTTGTAGCTGCAAAACAGAGCCAATAAAGTGAATATGTTACTCATTTGATGGCTTCTACACAACAACACAACCAACAACTATTGCTGAATAACGTAAATATCAAAAGCGCTTTTTCAACAACTAAACAACCTGTACTCAGCTAATAAACTGTGTTAGCGCAATTTTTTAAGCATTTTCACAGTCAACTAGGTTTATTTTTAGACGTGTGCAGTTTTACAAAGCTGAAGTAAGTAGTCGAGACAAGTAATTCATGTGCACTATTATAAAGCCTCTACTCAACGATATTATTGTAGAAAGTCATGTATATTTGTTTACGTCAGTTCAAAGTGTTGGTGTAGCGAAGTTGGTAGTGTCAAGGTCTGCCAATGCGGTC